TGAATTAATATGGGTGAAAATATGCTCTTCAACAACAGAAGAAACAACTTTCGAACTGAGAGGGAGGCGCTAAGCGATCGGACATGTCAGTAATAGTTTAGCTAGTGTCGTTCGAGAAATACAGGGTGTCCCAAAAATTTGACATAATTTTAAAAGAATTATCTTGAAAGTCTAGCTCAATAAAATTGAACAGTTTAGGTGTTGAACATCATAAGTTTATTATGGGAGCGATTTTATAAGTGTTTAATATGTTCACCGCCTGTGACACGGCACAGGTCAAGTTGATAGTTAATCTCTTGCCAGACACGCTGTAGCATGTCTCCGGTGACATTATCCAGTGCGGAAGTGAGTCTCTGCTTGAGTTCATCAATGCTAGCAGGAAGAGGAGGGGCATATCACTTCACATATCCTCATAAAAGAAATCACACGGGGACAGGTCCGATGATCCCGGCGGCCATTTCATCAGAAAACTGTCTTCATCTCCACCACGCCCAATCCATCTCTCTGGCAGATTCTCATTGAGATAACAAATATAAAACATTAAATATCACATCTTGACCTGTTTCTATACATTCCGGTAAAATTTGAGGTTATTTCAACAAGAATTACTCAAATGAAATTACTGCGAAATGATGTCAGATTTTGGCGGACATATATTTTCTCTCAAAGATTTTTATCGATCTTGACAACCAAGTTCTATCAATTTTGAACTGAAAACCGTGTAGAAAATCCTACGATAATTCCATTACAACATCCTTCAAAACACGTCATATTTCGATCATGAAACATGCCTGAATGGGGCGCTCATCGCCCGACTGCTATTCACTTTCATCAAAGAGTCACTATCTTCTTGTACTAAAAGAACGAACTTGCAAAGTAACATTAGGAGTTTAATATTTATATTTAAATAAATCAACGTAGCATTTTCTTACGATTAAAATTTGTATAAGTAAAGTTAAAATCAAGACAACCAGAACAATTTTGATCCGTAAATACAGATTCATTAAATCATAAATAATAGAAAGAAACTCCTGTCATGTTTTTGACAAGGTCATTTTGACGGACCCTTTTCAATACTAACATAACCCTTAATTTTAGAGATTGCTTAATATTCAGAGAAATTAAATTTTGTATTATTTTTTTTTTCCTTTTAAACATCGAAACCATATCAGTAATTGTATGATGTTTGAATTCAGAACAGGCTTTGAAGGAAGGGAAGAAATATTCGTCCTGTGTGTGCAAGCGAAGTATTAATTGTCCGGACATACCAACGATGCTTTCGTTCTGGAAATATTTTCTTTCCAAGCTAACACCTCGATCAGCAAAACAAGTTCTGTCAATATTGATGTTCTTTTTCAATTGGAAATTCTTCATTGTTGACAAAGTAAAACCCCATTCTACGGGTAATTGTTAAATTCTATGTTGAATGAATTTGGTATTTGGAATGAAGTACTAATTCATCATCTCGTGCTAAGGGCCAACTTTGTAAATTTTTGAGGAATATTCCGTGGGATATTTGCGTTTCAGCTTTGACGGGTTCTTGGTAGTAGCCATGAAATCGCAGTGATATTTTCATGCCTCTCCTTCCAAAAGACAAAAACAAAACAAAAAAATCAGTAAATAGTACAAATGAAGTCAAAAATTAAGCGGACTTTTGCCAGAACATATGTTGAGTGAGGATATTTTTTTTTTACTTTTCCTCGGAGCATTTTAGCTAAAAATGGCCTCATTTAATTTTTTTTAAATGTTCATGATAGCCGACGCGCCAAAAAGACAAAAATAAAAACATTAATTTATTCTCTCGCAAGCAGAAGAAGCGCAACATTTATCTAGTCAGGAATTTTACCACAGTCTCTCAATTCAGCCAGCATAGATGTATATATTTATTTACCTAAGTCAGTAGACCCCAAACGGTATGGCGCGCCTCATAGACGGAAGCAGAATGATTGAAAGATAATCAAATATTTAAAAACGGTTAAAAAAACATATGCCAAATATGGTCAATATTTAAAATATTATTCTAGATTACTTGTAATTGCATGCATGAATCCCAGTATAAATAGTTATAAATAATTATTGGTTGATTTTATCATTGTGATATTTTTGCATGATATCAAGTATTAAGAATATATTAACTGGGGTTTGATAATTGTAGGAGAGAGTTATCAATGATAATAATCTGACTTCGAATTTGCGATTATCTCCCTTTAAACCTCTGCCTGGTTTTTGTTTTAATTTTTAAACGTTCTTTTTATCACATAAACTTTGGTGAGGCGCCATCAATTTTTCATTGTGCAAATGCGGCGCAAAAGGAAAAAAAATCGGCACCAGTTATCTAAACTTACCAATTTCTAGAGAGCAAAATCTGGAAAAAATAAATAAAACATAAGCTGAACACAATCGGTATTCTTTTGTTCTAGACTTCCAGAATTTTCCTACAATAGTTGAAGTATTTGTTTAGAAAAAATAGTTCTGTCACATTGTTGACAAGGTCAGTTTGAGGTAAAAGTTTTTTTATACTTCCGTGAAGTTAAAATTATGTTTAATACCATTAATTTGTATCCTTAATTTTTACGCATTTTTTTTTACCATTAATTTGTACCATTAATTTTTACGCATTATTTTTTGCCATAAATTTGCACCATTAATTTTTATGCTTTAATTTTTACCATTAATTTTTACGCTTTAATGTTTTTTCTTTCTTTGCTGATTTCGTAATATCAGAGCGGGTAAATTTTATATCGATTTTAACATTTAATTTTCCTAAGATTGTAATACATCTTTGAAGGGTTTAAAAAAAAACTAAATAAAGGTCCTCACATATGTGGCGCATGAGGACATCAATAATTCCAATTGGAAATGGAGCCCTCGGATTGAATGGGAAAGGATTGCGGGATTCCCGGTTGTTCATGCCTGAAAGAAATACAAAAGATTATACTCACAAGTACAACTTCCATATTACGAAGAACTTTGTCTATGTGTTGTGGATTCCGCTATGAAATCCGGTATCAATAAATAACAAACGCCAAGAATGAATATAGGAAAGTAAAGTATTTACGTAATAATACAAACTGGTAATGCAGGTTAGTAGTTCCAGGAATACGGGTTAGTAGCAAAATATCTATACAGTCTTTGGTATTGAAGTATGTATGACCTCTTATTGAGTCTACGTGCTCGCTCACTGTGACTCCTACAACGCTGTTACCTCACCCTCACTCTTCCGGTTACCTACAACCTTTTACTCTGGACTCGACTCCTCGGTCTTGCTCTCGGGTCTTCCCATAGCTGTAGTATATATATACTGGGTGAGTCCATTTGTTTAAAAAGGAGTGGACCCCTCAACACTATGTAATATATTTTTCTTAGGAAATTTTTACGAAAATACTCACTGGAAAATGTAATGAAGCCTTTTCTGATCTTAGGCCTCTGGAAGAGACCGTGAAGGAAATGTGTATACAACAGAAATCTAAGGAAATAATAATAATAATAATAATAATAATAATAATAATAATAATAATAATAATAATCCAGACAATAATAATAATCCAGACAATAATAATAATAATAATAATAATAATAAGTCCATGCCTCAAAGAGATACAAAAATTGTTCTGAGAAGTACAGCCCACACTTTAAGAAGGGCTTTATTTATGTACTTTTTTTTTTTTTTTGCAGAGGAAAGTGTCATGATACCATTTCTAACCTTTCTGACCCGGAAAGAAATGTGTAAACGCCAGAAATCAAAGGAAATAAAAATAATAATAATAATCCTGAGAATGCATTGGTATTTCTCACAAATAACAATACAGGAGAGCAAGTAAAGGTCGAAAGGGTACTTAATGCTCCCTAAGACCGTAGCCAATCATGGGTCTCCACAATTTCCTGTTCCGTGTACCTCTTAATAAATTTGGTATTTTTGTTATTTCTCCTAAGCCCTGTTTCACTATCGATTTAAATATGTTATTCGTTGTTTTCCTGTCCCTCTTGTCCTCTATATGAAGGTTGCTGAGCATTTGTTTGTTTGTTTGTTTAAAACTTAACGACCCATCGACCAGCAAGAGATCATTTAAGGTCAAACAGTTGTTTTTTGTTTTTTTCTTTTTCTTTAAATAAGGTTGAAATGCTTTCAAAAAGACTTTCCCTTTCCTTCTTTTTCGATGTTGTCTTGCTTTTTTTTTAAAAAAAAATTCCCTGTTTTCAGAGGTGCGTTGTTCTTTGAAAGTTTCTCACCTGGCAAGTATCAAAGTTTTCCCTTTCATCATCAGACACCAAATTGGAATTATATTTTATTATATAGTCCAACTTTCCTAAGAAAGGTCAAAGATCAAATTGGGGTTTGATTTTTTCGAAAAGTTCTTTCAAGTTGTTCACGTTGTAAAATAATTTTCGAATATGTGCCATGTCACCGCACTCAAGCAGGAAGTGCTTCACAGTATAAGCCTCCTGGCATGCTATGCATTCAGGAGGATCTTCGTCTTTAGGAGGAAGGTTGCTGAGCAATCACAACAGATCTTTGTGGGATTCAACCTGCACATCTCAATTCGTTCGAGTACTCTGTATACTGAAGATTCGGCGAGAATTGCTGTCACGTTATCCTCATTGAGCAATCCTACAAGGTTACGCCATGATTAAACAAAATAATAATAATAATAATAATAATAACAGCAACAATAATAATAATGGACGAAAGTGCAAAAATAGGGCCGGCAGCAGAAGGTGAAATCAGCCTCCACACGTCATGTCGTTCCATGATCAGTTGCCCCAGAAATGACGGACATCGTTCAATTAGGAAGACAATATAGAAATCTGTGCACAGAGAGATCGCACACTAATGCTGTCCCCTTCCGAATTCATTTATATCATCGTAGTCACGCGAGATTTGATTACCAAACGATATTTTCCCCTCTTCCAATGTTATTGCTAGCCTCATTGTGAGTACAAAACTATCTCCGTCTGACTATAAATAGGTTTTCACTGCTTTATGAGCCGAGAGCAGTTGCTTATGGTGAGTAAAGAGCGCGAAGAGAGAAAGAGAGAGAAAGAGAAAGAGAGAGGGAGATTGAATGAATTAGAGTAGACAGAGGAAATTGAATGGTATCAGAGAGTAAGTGGGGAGAATAGAAAGAAAAAAACAAAGAAACAAAGACAAATCTGAAAGAGGGGGGATTTTTGTGAGAAAGAAAGAAAGAAAGAAAGAGAAAGAAAGAAAGAAAGAAAGAAAGAAAGAGAGAAAAAAACTAAACGAGATAAGATTAATTTATAAGAAAGACAGAAAAAAGAACGGCAGTTTAATTTGTAAAAAAAGAAGGAAATAAACTATTGAGAGATTAGTTGGTAAGAAAGGAAAACATGAAAGAATTGAACGAAATATTAATTTTTTAAAAAAAGAAAGAAAGAAAAGCCTGAAGAGAGATGATTAATTACAAAGAAAGAAAGAAAGAAACAAACAAACAAAGAAAAAAGAAGCAAACAAACAAAAAAGAAACAAACAAAGAAAAAAGAAAGGAATAAAGAAACAACGAACTGGACGAGAAGAAATTAATTTATGAAAGAAAACAAATAAAAAGAAGCTAATGAGATATAATTGCAAAGAAAGAATGAATAAATGAATAAATGAATGAATTGTATGATACATTCTTTTATAAGAAAGAAAGAATAAAAAATGGAAACTAATGCGTGAAAAGTAACTGGAAAAAAGTAAGAATTAAGCAAAGAAGCTGAAATAAATAGTTAAGAGCTGAATAAGATAAGTAAAAGAAAGAGAAGAAAAAGTTGAGGAATAAACAGATGAAAAAAAAACAGATGAAACAGATGAAAAAAAAAAAACAGGAAAGAAGAAAGATTAGAAAGAAAATCTAGAAAATACGAAAAGAACAAAAGCTAAAGAAAATGGCATCTCACTTTTGGATTATTTCTTAATAAGTTTTATCTTGCCTCCTGAACTTATTCCTGATTTTCTTCTGCCCTTCACCGCCCGATGTTTCAGTTTGCAATCGCAACGCCCAGGTAATCTCGTTGCAGTAAGACTCGGATGTGACCGATTTGATTCACCCTATCGTCCGGTCGGCAAAAGAGAGGGGCATCCAATTCCTTTTTCGTACAAATAATCGCTATGACCTTTGTCACGAGTTTAAAGTTTTGTCCGTTTTCCCTGGATTCTTCTTTTTATGCCCATTCTCATGGTAGACTTTAGTTTACGCATTCTACCTTCCATCAAACCTATATCGTGTGCACTTTAGTGTTTCATTTCGCTTGGGGAATAAAACTTTATTTCTAATCATCGATCGAGGTCAGTTTTCATTTTGCTGATGTAGCTATTTCCTTCTCTCTCATGCAAACACACACATGCATACATACATACATACATATATATATATATATATATATATATATATATATATATATAGAGAGAGAGAGAGAGAGAGAAAGAGAGAGAGAAAGTGAGAGTTATCTGTATATAATAAAAGGCCTATAAGTATATACGTTCGTTTGTTTGTGTGTATTTGCAACTAACCAAACTTCAGGGATTTGCTTCTCATAATTCAGTTTCGAAACACTTCAATTATTATTCTAATACTTTCCGATTACTACCTTTTGCAGTTATTATTATTATTATTGTTATTATTATTATTATTATTATTATTATTTCTGCTATGGACACACTACCTACCAAGTCTGCGGAAAGACCTAAGGCAGGTCGTGGTGTGTTGTTATGGCCACATTTCATGTTAATTTTTTTTTTTTTTTTTTTATCTCCGATGAAGTTGCTAGCGTTACATAGACAAAGTTCTCCTTAGTGTGTGTGCTGTACTTAATAAGACAATTTTCTGTATGTCTCTTAAGCTGGGGTTTCAGGGATTCTTTCAATGTGTTGTTTTGTTCCATTTTTATAATTCCAAGTGCACCTATTACCACTGGTATTATTCTTGTTTTCAATTTCCACATTTTTCTATTTCAATTTCCAGGTCTTTGTATTTTGATAGTTTTTCAAATTCCTTGGTTTTGCTATGTTACAATCCGCTGGACAAGCCATATCAATTAGTAGGCAATTTTTTTTCTTTCTGGTTTTTGACAATAATGTCCGGCCTATTTGCTTCAATTTTTCTGTCTGTGTGGATGGTATAATCCCATAGAATGGTGACATCTTCTATTTCTGTAACCGGCGCTGGCCGATGTTCATACCAGTGTTTGCTTACACATTTTCCAAAGTGTTTGCACATTGTCCAGTGTAAGTATTGCCCCACTCTATCGTGACGATTTTTATATTCATTTGGGGCAAGTATAGAACATCCTGAGATTAGATGGTCTATTGTTTCTTGGTATTTGTCACAGAACCTGCATTTTGGATCCACATTATTATGTATGATATTTGCCTGAAAATTCCTAGTGAATTATTATTATTATTATTATTATTATTATTGTCTGGATTATTATTATTATTTTTATTATTATTTTCTTTGATTTCTGGCGTTGACACATTTCTTTCCGGGTTCCGCCCAGGGACCTAAGGTTAGAAATGGCGTCATGACACTTTCCACTGACAAAAAAATAAAAAATAAAATAAAATAAAAAGATTACATAGATAAAGCCCTTCGTAAAGTGTGGGCTGTACTTGTCAGAACAATTTTCTGTATCTCCTTGAGGCATGGACTTCCAGGAATCCCTTCAATTAGTCTACTGGAATCTTTTCCAACCAGTCCTAGGGCTCCAACTACAACAGGGATTGTTGATGTTCCCATATGCCACATTTTCGCGATTTCTATTTCAAGGTCCTTGTACTTTGACAACTTTTTGAATATCTTCAAAGATACATTGCAGTCAGCATGGACTGCGATATCAATAAGGAGGCACCGTTTTTGTTTGTGGTCTTTAATAACAATATCTGGGCGGTTGGCCTTGATTGTTCCGTCAGTGTGTATTGTGTAGTCCCATAGAATTGTAACAGGTCCTATCTCTTTAACCGGGTCTGGGTGGTGTTCATACCAGTTTCTTTCAGTTTCCTTCCCGTAGAAGTTGCAGATTTTCCAGTGCAGATATTGGCCCACTCTGTCATGTCGGGTTTTATATTCAGTGGGTGCCAACACCGTACAACCTGATACAAGATGATCAATCGTTTCTGGATATTTATCACAGAATCTGCATTTTGGGCTGACACAATATTTTAGTATATGTGCTTGATAATTCCTAGTTAGCAAGCATTGGTCCTGCGCAGCAAGGATGAAACCTTCAGTTTCCGCTTTCAACCCTGCACTACGTAGCAACTGATGGGTACGGGCAGAGTATTGGCCATGAAGCGGTTTATCTTGCCATCGTTTCTGTAATTGGTCTGTATTATTATTATTATTATTATTATTATTATTATTATTATATTTTTAGTATTATTATTGATATTGTTCCTGTTATCATTATCGGTATTTTCTTTATTATTGTTGCTGTTATTCCTGTTGTCGATGTTATTATTGTCCTTATTATTGTTTGCAATATTGTTATTGTTATTATTATTTTTGTTTTTAATATTGTTATTTTAAATATTATTATTATTATTATTGTTCTTGTTGTTTTTGTTGTTGCTGTTGTTGTTGCTGTTAATATCGTTGTTATTGATGATTAACTAAACAGGTAACGGAAAAATGCGACACATTTTATACCAATAATTTGTGAAGAGTCATGGACGTCTACTTCCTGAGGGGGATATGATATTTTACAAGCATAAGACGTCTCTAGGTATGAAATAAATAAATTTTAGTTCGTAGAGTGTAGCAAAGATTATGCAACAAAATGTACACAAAATGAATCGAAACTTACACAAAAGTGACATCTCAAAACTAACATCAATATAATGTATCAAAATTGAAAGACAAAAATGATGTATCAAAACTAACACAGAAATAACGTATCAAAACAGACAGAAATGACATATCAAAACATAGACAAAAATGACGTATCAAAACTAACACAAAAATCGCGTACAAAACTAGCACAAAAATGACGTATCAAAACATTGATAAAAATGACGTATCAAAACATTGATAAAAATGACGTATCAAAACTAAAACAAATATGACGTATCAAATTTAAAACACAAAAATTGTTTAACAAAACTTAGACAAAAATGACGTATAAAAACACACACAAAAATGACGTATCAAAAGAAAAACCAAAAAGGCGTACGAAAACAACACAAAAATGCCGTATCAAAACTTGCACAAAAATGACATACTAAAACATATGACAAAATGCTGTATTAAAAGTAACACAAAAGTTGACGTACCAAAGAATAACATATCAAAACTTGCACAAAAATGACATACTAAAACATATGACAAAATGCTGTATTAAAAGTAACACAAAAGTTGACGTACCAAAGAATAACATATCAAAACTAACACTAAAATGACATTTAAAAAAATGACGTATCAAAACTTACACAGAATCATATTAAAATGACACTAGATTTGATTAAGTTACTATGTTTATTCAATCTTCAATAATTTTCAATAGAAGGGAGCTTGTGACATTTTTCCAGGCAACTCATATTACGGCAATTGTTCTAAATGATAACAATGAGAATTTTATTTATTTGTCATCTCGTTTGCATTTTTCATCCGCTTTTGTAAATAAGAATTTTCTTTTCCTTGACTTTTTCTTCCGTTGTTTCTTTCTTGCTATTTGCTAGCCTGTCTCATAATTTTTCCCTTTTTATTACAGGAAACCCATCATATTACCAGAGGCGCCAAAGATGTCCCCATCCTCTCCCCACAACCATCTTTTCGGTGCATGTGTCCTGTTCGCTGGTCTTCATATCACATTAGACCCAAGGCTAAGTAAGATTCACGAAAATCATATTTAGAGGAGAATGGCCGGCTGATGAAAATGCTTACTGAGCGTAGAATCGGAATCAGACGGCTCATTAAATCGTGTAGGATTTTTTTTTTTTTTTACCGGACAACAAAATCCTCGTCTTTGATCTTGCGCCAATGCTTGCCCGAAGAAGAAAACACTTTGGTAGCAAAACAAGGAACAGAAACGCAAACATATAAACTGTTTATACAATTGGTTAATGAGTGCGAGGTTATATTTTCCCGAGCTTAGAAAAAGGTCAAAATATTAAATTCAACAAAGAAGTTTTTTTTTTCTTTTTCTTTTATGTGCTATCGCTCTTTGGAAAGTGGATAACACCGACTTACGCAAAAATCTTATCCTTTGAAATTCTTAAAAGTGTTGATTTCATTACTCTCTCTTCTTGCATTTTAGATATTCTATTCATTTCCGATGATCGTTCCTCTTTATATGGTCACCGAAGTTAAGCAACGTTAAGCCTGGTTAGAACCTATTTAGGTGACCACTTTGGAAGAACATAAAATTGGATGTGCGGGCAGTGTAATTGATAATGGCTTGGAATTGTTATTCCTGTAGGTTTCGTTATATTCAATTATGCACAAATATCGATGGGAAAGTTATTAATCCACCTCTTCTACCCCAGCTATGGGTTAATTAGTAAGACCTGTATCACTAACTCATTATTATCGTGAAAAAAGAAAAATTAAGAATATATTCTGTTTGTAAATAACCTGGAAAGCGTTCATAATACGTTGAAACGATCAATCAACACAGGCATGTCAGATTTATTTACAT